CGTGCCAGAGGAGCTGCTGGTGAACGAACAGCATACAGTCATATTTCACAAAATCAAGAGGAGGGACCTAACTGCCCTTCTGTCAGACGAACACTTACAGCTGGACCAGGTTCTCCAGGAGGACCAGGGTCACCGGGGAAACCAACTGGACCCTGCAAAGAGAGAAGAAAGATATCCCGAAATCAGAGATATTGCATCTGGAGAATTGCAGAGTACTAGTGCTTGCTACCCCCGTGCCAGCACAGGGAGTCACCCTATGGAGCAAACCCCAATTCCCTACCCTCGGACAAAATCCCAGATCACATCCCATCTTTGCATCTTCAGGAGTTTCATCCTGTCACAGCCACCAGCTCAGCTCTGCATCCAGACTACGCAAAGCTCCAGTGTCAATGCTGGGACTTTCCCCTACTTTTTCCTAAATACATTGGACAAGTGACAGCGAAATCCCCGCACCTTTGGGGAACGGGCAGATTAGGAGATTTCGCTTTTGCTTACTACATGATGTATAACACTTTTCACATGAAGATCCTCTCAAAGCATTTAATGACTAAAACACTTCACATTCTTCTCTGTACAGTGTCTATTGTGAACTTCAAATGATTCCGAGACCAGCATTCAGATCATCGGCTCCAACCAATAATGCGATATCCCAAAACCCATCTGTTAAGAGAGATGACTAACTCCTCTGCCTCCTCTGCTGTTTCATGCCATCTTTGCTTATCGCATAATAAATTTCTTCAGCCAGCAAGCATCAAAGAAGCCGGCAAGATAAATACTGTACCATTGTCATCTGGTATAAATCAGTATAGCTCTATTGGCTTCAACAGAACTACAGCAATTAGCATCAGCAGGGATCTGACCCTAGAGGTACAACTCCCAGATTCACATAAATCTCCACGCTATTTCAGAAGCTTTGCTCTGGTGCAGAGGACATTGGCAATGCATAAGCTCAAGTGCAAAGTAAACCTACTGCAGGACCTCTCCATAGGGGCGAGATTTCTGATAGCCTGCAAAAGGGACTAATAATTCAAGTATTGCTGGAAGATAGGTACAACTGGGTCTTTTCCTCATTAGCACCCTAAAGGAAGGGGACTAATATCACATATCATCAGAGGAGCAATTCTCTGGCTGGTAAACTATTTCAATTTTCCACAAAAATTGCTGGAAAACATCTTTTCATGCAGAACTCTCTGCTGGGCAAGACAAGGAAGCCCTGCTTGGACAGGAGGGGGTACGTACAGGGCTGCCTTTGGGACCATCATCGCCTGGTGGACCTTTGGGGCCAGGTGGACCAGCAGCCCCAGAGGGACCTGCTTCACCCTTTTCACCTCTTTCACCTTTAGGACCCTGCAAAGGAAAAAAAGGTGTTTCTATTATCCAGAAAAGCAACTTACCGATCTCTAATTATCCTTTAATCGGTTCTGAGAAGGAAGCTCTATTTGTATCTCAAAACATGAGGACATGATTTAGCAGTCCCTTCCCACAAAGCTTAAATGGTGTTCATGTTGTTCAGTCGTGGGTAGGCCATATTCGGTGACTAAACGTTATACTATAAATACCCAGTAACATGGCGATGTGTCACCCGATACCCAAACCAAGGACGTGGCTGGTTCAGTCCCTGCAGCCCCATCTACGTCCATGCCTCTCTGTCACCCCTTGACCCAGCTCCTTGGGGGACACCACTGAAGAAAAGCTCTTCTCCATCCGAGCAAGAGCCGCCCCGTAGCGTACTTACCGGGAGGCCAACCTCGCCAGGAAGACCAGGCTCACCAGATTCACCAGGTTCACCCTGTAGAGGGGAAAAGAGGATGAGCACACTTATATTTCTTCAGGGTGCTGAGTTTTCTGCTGACGTAGCAAAGTCCCTGCACGAGTGTTGTAACAAACTCCTGCGGGCTTCAGTCAGGTTTGTCTGGATGCTTTACCTTCTCTCCTACTGCACCGGGATTTCCTATTCCACCAGGAGGACCCTGTGGACCATCTGCTCCTGGTGGTCCAGATGGACCTCTGGGTCCAGGTGGGCCTGGCGGGCCCTGAGAGAAAGGGGAGGCAAATTTAAGACATGATTCTTGGAGCAACGTCTGTCAGCGATGAAAAAAGACTTATGAAAGCATCTTACCATCTGCCCAACGTCACCTGTTTCCCCCTTCTCACCAGGTGGTCCAGGCAAGCCCTGTGGAGGTGGAGGGGATGAGTTTTAGCTGTGAACATCTCAGGTGGAGCCCCAGCTCTCATTACCCTAAGCGCTCCCTTGATGCTGTAAATTACCTGCAAGCCCACTGGGCCGGGGGGACCAGGGAAACCTCGGGGTCCTTCGTCACCTTTCTGACCAAAGAGGCCTTGCTGCCCTCTGGGACCTGGCTCTCCGTCGGCACCCTACGAGGACAGAGTCTAACACAGCTTGGCAAAGCCACAAGGCAGATGCAAAACTCCATCCCCACCACCTCCTGCCGCAGCCAGCGGCAATGCGCTGCTCACACGTTGGGCGTCAGCAGTGCCAGGCAGAGACTGCCAATCCCTGCAGCGCTCCCCAGGAGATTTTATGGGAGGAAAGAGGATTTCTGCTAACAGGGGACAATACTCACAGCTGGGCCAGGCTGACCGATTGGACCCTGAGGGCCGGTAGGACCTGGGGGACCCTGTCATGGAACAGAAGTGCAATGTCACCGTGAGGAGCACAGAGTAAAAAACTCACCTGGAAAAGGCGATGCCCTTCAACGCAGCCTCCATTAAATGTGCATTGATTCCCACAACAGAGAGGGAGGAGAGGGTCAAGTCTGTCCAGACACACCAGCATCCCTCAGCCCTGGTGCCAATGGCACAGTGGATGTCTAAATGCATTTTTGCTCCAGCAAAGCAATATCACATCACTCGGTTCTATCTAGATACTTATGGGTGATTTATCTTCCTCAGGCCCTGAGCAGCACATAAAGAGCGCTTTGGTGTGCTGCAAGCAACTAGAACAGGAACTACAGCCCAACACCCAACTTTAAGGGCAAGGGCTGCTAATGTTTCACAGATATTTACACGGTACATGGGTGACATGGAAACATCTCGGTGTGTTCCTGGGAGCTGGAAGCTCACACTTCAGGCACTCACTCTTTTTTACATCATGTGGGTATTTGATGAAGCAAAGGAAGATGAAGCAATTGTAGAAAGAAACTAAAATGATATTGTTTTCTGTTTCCAGCAAGTCATACAACATAGCCATGCTCCTCCAGGGCAGCAGCTATGACGATGTCCACCCCACTCACCTGCTCGCCTTTGTCGCCCTTGCTGCCCTTCTGGCCAGGCTCCCCGATCTCGCCCTGCCGGGTACGAAGGGGCACAGTTAGTTCACTTGGTGACCACCTCCATACCTCAACGTGCAAGCAATAGTCCCGTAGGTCTACAACCTCATCCTAAAGATGCCAATTGACCGTAGAAATACCCCAGAACACTCTGAAAAAGGCCAGAGATTTGGCCACTCCGGGTGTAACCAAACCCTTTTACCTCCTAAAACTTTCCTTAGCTGCCATGCGATGCGAGAAGCATCATGTTGCAGACCTTGTTAGCAGCGATGAGTGATTCATCCCAGCTAATGTTTTCTCAGAACCCTCCAGTCCAGAGGGGCTTAATGAGAGAGTGGGGCAAGGTAATTAATTTGGAAAGGCCAGGCACCCACGGGCAGGCCACCTGCTACAGGCTTTTGGGGCGGCTAACTGGATTTCAGCGAGCGGTGTGGCTGGCAGAGCACACGCAGCTGCTGCCGCCCCGATCGGCCGCTGCTGATCCCGCGGGATTGCAAGCGCTATAAAATATCCCCGTGTTACGACCAGCAGCACATCCAACCCCACGCGGTGGAAGCAGCGTGGTGGCAATGGGGCACGTTGGCCCTGTTCCCTCCCAGAGTGACCCTGCGCAGCAGGGAGCTGCTCCCACCTTGTCTCCATCCTCTCCGGGGGGGCCGACGGGACCTGCTGGACCTGGCAGTCCCACCGGGCCCTGGATGCCGTCCCGGCCAGCCGGTCCTTGAGGACCCTTCTCACCCTGGAAGCAGAACAAGCGGGCAGGTGACACAGAGCTCTCCCCCACCCTTCAAACCATTACATCCCATTAACATTTTATTCAGCTGCTAATAACCCCTGACTGTATGGGCACGTATAGCAAAACCAGTTTCCAGCCGATATTTCCCCAGGCTTTCTGTGCTCGCTGTCTGGAACACGACAAAATTTCTATCTCAGGAGATAAAGAAAGAACAAACAAATCTGAACGGTGAATACCCAGATCGCAGCTGCAATTTCACTGCTGTAGCAATATAATCAGATTTAATCTGAACCCTCTGCCATCTCTCTCCGGATGACAAACAAGACCCCAACTAATTTTCATTCCCACAAAACAGTTTGTATTGATTCTGGTCCTGGCTGCCCCCGCACTCAGTGCCTGCGCCCTCCCTGCCTCATCCCCTACTCATGGGGGTTTCTCAGGGCCCCCCGAGCTCCCGCCTGAGCTTCTGGACAAAGGAAAACACCTGAAGTGAAGAAAGCACTTTCTGCTGGCCTCCTGCTTAAACGTCTGCTGGTATTTCTCAGACCTGGAGCCTTCAATCGAATTTGCTTGTTTATAGGAACTGAACAGGGAGTATTTTTCCGTTTCCTCATACGTAATTTAGTCGCATGTGAATCCTGGGTGCTCTCTTCTGAATAATTAGATGCCACATAAATTGCCTATTCATCTCTTCACTGATACACCATATAGGTACTTGGCAGGACGGATGTTCATAAAGCTGATTCACCAGGAAATTCTTGCCTCTGGACTAGCTGCGGGAGTTTCTAATAAGCCAGCAAATGCAGAATACAGGGGCTGATAAACACTTCCGATACCAACAATCAATCACCGTAAGTGTCCTCATGTAGTCTGAAATCCCCGACGCCAGCATTTGCTCGTTTTGCTGGGTCTGAAGCTGAGCTGGAGTTTGAGGCAGGCAACCCCGAAGGCTCTGCAAAACCACTCGGGTGTGAATTAGAGGCTCAGCCTTCCTCCTGGGGACTGTCACGGCGCTGCGCTCTTCAGGGACAGAAATACTCATCCCGGCCCACTCCCTCCTGCCCGCACGTGACATTTCACGCGCGTGCCTGGGGAGCGAAAGACGTGAGAGCGTGCGCGGGCTGGCTGCTGAAGGCTCAGGAGAGGGACCATATGGCAGGACTCAGCCGCGCTCTGCTCCGGCTCCTGCCGAGAGCGGCTCTTTCCACGGGCGCCAGCGGGATGCCTGGGAACGCTGACGCCACGGCAGCCCACAGCAGCCTGCGAAGAGGAGCCAAAACCTCCGCAGCACCTTCACGTGCTGTTCCTTGGCCGGGGCAGGGGGAGGGTAAGGATTTATTTGGGCTCAGTGGAAATTGCTGCTGCCACCGCATCCTTGTAAACAGTGATGGGGTTGACTCGCTTCTCCGGCTAGAGGCCTGTCCCGTGGCTGTTTGTCACTAGGAGGTCACAGAGACTTTCACCTGCTTGGTCCTCATCCCTTCTCATTGCCTGGAGACACTTCAGTCTCTGTGATCACATCCTTTTTTGATATCATGGGTGTCACCAGTGGGGCAGTTGAGCTGCTAATATTCAGCAGTTTGATGCACCCAAGATGAGATAATTCTTTTCCAATTGAACCCCTTCTTTTATTTTTATTTTTTTTTAAATCTTTTATACACCTACCCCAGGGGATGTCTCCATGCTCAGATTCCTACTGTACACATTTCTATTTGACCCACAGCTGTTAATCTTTATACTGGTACTTACCGGGGCGCCCTTTTCACCTGCGGGTCCTGGAGGTCCCTGGGGGCCAGGTCGCCCTGGCAAGCCTATGGGGCCGGCTGACCCCGCGGGACCACGCTCGCCGGGAGAGCCCTGTTGGGAGAAGAAGGAAGCGTTAACTGGAGTATCAAGCTTCATCTCTATGCAGAAAATAGAAATCCAGCAGTAGGATGCTGTAAATGCATGTCAGTAAATGAACACATTTGATGGGGTGACTTCCACGTGATGACTTGGTACCATCAGCCTAAGGGGTCCTGCAGATCTTTTTTTTTTAATTAAAATCCCTGGACGGGCTGGGTTCTCCTCTGGATGGTGCGGGGAGCTCAGTTTCTGGGGGCACGTTATCAGCTTGGAACAAGAGCGTGAGCCACGTCACGGCCAATACAGCAGGGAGGGTCGGATGATGAATATCTCCTTCCAGGAGGGCTGCACCGAGCACGAATCTCAAGTGGGGACAACTTTCAGAGGGAAAGCAGGTGACTTAGAAGCAGAATTCTCGGTGTCCTGAATCATTCCAGTTCTCTCAGCTTGTCACGTATGTTCACAGCTGACACCACAAAATGACTGAGCTATTACACGTGTGTCTTGTCAAACAAAGCAATATCCAGCAAGTCGTTAGTTAGTGCAAAGGAAATAACGGATAAAGCACTGAGCTGTGACTAACCCTCCGTTTTGGCTTGCCAAGCTTGTAAATGCGTTAGGTGGTGCCTGTAAGGGCAAGGATACTCACTGCTGGACCTGGGGGGCCTGGGGGACCTTCGTTGCCTTTCAGCCCTGGGGCACCCTGGAGGGAGGAAAACAAAGTCATTTTGGGAGGTGGGTGCTGCACCTCCTGGGCATCCTTCCCACGGGAAGGACCGGGCAGCCTCTACTCACAATGGGGCCAGGGAGACCTCTCTCTCCGGGGAAGCCTCGCAAGCCGGGGGGACCGTCCTTCCCTGGGAGGCCGGCGGGACCGGGGTCCCCCTGCAACGACAGTGATAAACAGCTGAGGATCTGCAGACTCCATAGGGACCCAACTCCTCCCTCTGGGCTCAAGTCGTGACGAGACACTGCGAAACATCACTTCTCTTCTGAATCATCTCTCTCCATCTCTGGGAGAGACGCAGGTGCCCAGGCTTGCAAGGAGCGGGGATTCAGTTAGGCTGCTGGTCCCTACCTTGGTCCCTTCTTTCCCAGTGAGGCCAGGAAGACCTTGTTCACCCGGGGGACCTGGAGGGCCTGGATGTCCCCGCTCACCCATCGGCCCAGTCTCACCAGTCGGACCCTGAAGAAACAGAGATCGGGGAGAAGGTGGTGGGTATCAGCAGAGCACACAACGAAGGAGGAGGTGCAGGCTATCAGTTTGTTCCTTTAGGTCGCAATGGGATGGAAGATGCTCTTTCTCTTAGCTGTCCCCTGCAGTGCCACCAGGAATCCCTGCAGAGATGTCTCCTTTGGCATCTAAAGGAACCTTGTTTTGGAAGTGGGCAATATTGCACTTGACAGACTAGAGGCATTGGGAACCTCTGGAATGAAAGTGTCCACATAAATGAGATATTATTACTACAATTATTATGCTTAGGGTTTTTTTTCTTTTTTTAAATTGAAAACTTCCTAAGTACTCTACAATCATGCTGATTCTTCCTTATATGGGGCATAAATAATGGATTAGGCTTGTACTGCACGGCAATTACTGACTGCCTCTGTGCCGTACGCGGGCACTAATGGTGACGAGTGTAGCATAAGGCCCAGTGCAGAAGGTTCCCAAGTGGCCCATTTTGGAGGAGGACAAAAGCCACATGCACAAGACTATAACGTCCCTGCACGCTGGTGTCCGCCGGGACGGTGGTTGTAATTCATGTCATGCTGCAGGGTGCCACTTAGTGTAAGTAGAACGATAACATTGCGATCGCTCAGCAACCACAGATCACGCTAACTACGCGCAGCAGAGCCAAATAAAATTGCCATAGAACCTAATTTGCACTTGAGAAGACAGCCACAGCCAGGGAATTGCCCCTAATCAGGGACTTTACAAATCAGGGACTTTACGCTATCATTAAAGAGGACAAATTAATCACTTTCCAATTAAAGAGCAACCTCCCCAGCAGTTGAGGAAAGAAGACTCAACCCAAAGCCAGACCCGCTCAGTCTAGGGCTCTGCCTACAAAACCAGCCCCGAGCCCTGCGTGCCTGTACCGAAGGGGTACGCAGCCTGGTTGTGTAGTATTTCCAGATCGCACAGAGTTCACGGTAACTGAGAGAAAAATAGCCCAACTCTGACAGAATCTATTTAGCGCTTTATATTAAAGAGGGATGCATTTCTTCATGACAACGTGTAACAGCCCTCTTGTATCACTCTTGCACTGCCCGAATGCCCCAGGAGCTGTACAGCCCTTTGAGATCATGTCTAACCAACAAACCAAAAAACCAACTGGCAAGACACGACTCAGGACTAATGATCTGCCTGAGATTTTTGGCTACTTACTACTCAGGTTGTGTGCAGCTGGTCTCTCTCTCACCCTCCACCAATTTTACGCCAAAGCAGCTCTGTTAAGTTCACAGGAGCCACCTTATTTCCAGCAGCCTTCAGGCACGCTGCCTAAATGCCATCCTAACACCTCAACAAGGTGGGCTGGGACCTATTGGGATATTTCCAGGCCAGGTTGGACGGGGCTTGGAGCAACCTAGGCTGGTGGGAGGTGTCCCTGCCCAGGGCAGGGGGGTGGAACTGGGTGATCTTTAAGGTCCCTTCCAACCCAAACCGTTCTATGACTTCACACCCTGGCCAGGAATTTCAAAGCCATCAAGCTTGCTTTGACATGACTTTGCCTTCCCTGGAAGAGGACCCTCTGTGCTGTACAACCTGTGGTCCCAGCAGCTCCAGCTGAGCCATCTGAGCTGTGCCCAACCGGTGAAGATGAGCTGCCGAGGGTTGGTGCAAGCACGAGCATTTGTTTCTTACCTGAGGGCCTACGACACCGGGAGGTCCTGGAGGGCCAGTCTTGCCTTGGAAACCCTGTTAGAGAAAGGGAAAAGAGAGAGAGATGACACTTCAGCCAAGAAGTGCTCCAGTGAGGGTCACAGGCTGCCACCTGACTGCTCCTCCTCTGGTGAAACTACTGACCAGGAACGGGTGGACACCCAAAGACAAAAGAAACCACAACAAAATCAAACAGAAAGTGGAAAATGTGTATTTGTACATTTATACAGGGATGAAACAGAGGAAGAAAAGGGGGTTCTCAAAGCTCAGCTCTGCTGTTTTGATGGAGCTACTTGTGGTTTGGCTGAAGGACTGGACATATATATAAAAAAACTTCCTACGCTCATAAATCCTATAGAGGAAATGGCTATTAAAAAGTCAGAATGTGCCAGTTTCTTCATGCTGCACAATTCTTAATAACCATGTCCCTTCTCCTGCTCCCTGTTCTGGTTTAGGTTCAGCTCTGGTTCAGGCTTAGCTCCCAGGAGCTCGGGCACTGGGTGACCATCTTCCACTTGTGGCACCGGTAGCGCCAATCTCCAGCCCCGCCACAGCCCACAACCCACCAGCCTTGGGGGCTGAGCGAAGCTTTATTTCCTTCATCAACGTCTGTTGAAAGAAATCACAAATGTGTTTCTCTCCAAATGCTGATGAGTAGCGAAGTCTCCATGACAGCTCCTTATAATGACATTTTGAAGAGTGACGATAACGAACTATCACCACCGCAATTGTTTAGCTCTCCTAAGCCACTCTTTAAAAAGCACATTAATTATCATTCTTACTATAGCATGCTGACAAGCTTGAGAAATGTCATTTAGGGCATACCGGCTATTTTCTCATTGCCATAAAAGAGGATCAGATAAATCCCAAGTCAACGGTAATGTGTCATGCTAAAAAAACTACCCAGTGCTATTCTAGCTGTCTGCAGACTACAGAAAACATCCTGTCGTTGATGGGGAAATGGCGAAAGAGCTTTGTGAAGTGAACGTACAATTTAAACTCTTATCGTAGAAAAATATTTCAGCCAATTCAGTGCAGCGCTTTTCTTATTAATCTGAAGAAAGGGGTTTCCTTTTATCCCATCTGAGCCTCGGGCACAGAGCTTTTAGCGTTTTTCTTCTTTTTTAGATCCAATCTTTTTAAATTTAATATGGCCAAATATTTCAGTATCCTTCAGCGTGCCTATTTGTTACTAAAGGAAAAGTAAAATGACGGGGACTATTAGACACAGAGATTTCAAGTCTAGGTTTTCTTGCGTGAAGGTACAGAGTGAGCTAACAAGGCTACTGAGGTGGAAATAGTACTTAATTCATTTTAATGTTTCTCTCCTCGCTTTCTGGCACTGTGTAAGGAAAAGGGGGACAAAAAAGGGACTTCTGCTACCTGGGTCTGCATGTCTGTGTGCATCTCAAGAGGACGCAAGGGAAAGTGATTTTGTAAGCTTGTTGCTGGCACAGATGAACAGATTTTTGGTTTTCTGGAAGTGTTTGCCTGTGATAGGCAAGTTACTGCTGCAATGAGGTAAGAAAGCTACTAAGGAGTACTTTCAGACCCCAAATAATTGAAAGGCCCTTCTCCATTCAGATTCCTGCAGACTTGGAGTTCGATGCTTTATTCCTGTCTCAAAAGTTGATAACAGCAGATGCAAGCAAAGTTTTTACTGCCTCTTCTAATCTGAATGCAGCTGTCCTGGATGTCACAGATAACTCAGGGAAGGAAGACTAAATGTCACAGTCAGGCTCTGGCAGGTGAAAACTCTTCTCTTCACCTTTAAGTTAATCCTGACCTGAGGACTGTGTGCTCAAAAATACCACAATCGTTGCCTTAAAGTCAGTCTTATGGAGTGTAAATAAATACCTGGTGTTGCGCTGAGCAGTATTTGCATTGCCTTGCTTAGCAAATGCCAGGCAAGTTAATTAAACCGTTGTGTGATAAGTTGAGGGCGAAAAATGCATAATGCGCAAAGCCTTTTTAATGCTCATTTGCTAGGAAAGGCAGTGGAGAAAAATGCAAAGCTGAGTAGAGGAAATCGGTGGGTTTTTTGTGGGTTTGTTTTTTTTTTTTCCTGTAAAATAAACACAGAACAAAGAGTCTATCTGCTAACATGCAGCATGCAGTGTTGGGGAGAAGGACAAACCAACAACAGCGAATGAGCTGGATTGGAAACAGCCGAGGAACAAGAATAAACATCCCCAAAAATGCCAAAGAGAAGAATACTAATTACTGCATGCAGAGGAATACGTGGCAGAAGGGTCATTTTTGCTTAGGGTATCCTTCAAGCGAAAAAAAATAAAAAAGGTGCAGAGAACAGACCACCAGAGACGCACAACAGCCAGGGTATCATACCTTCCACATGCCTCATCGTTCTCCTTTGGTGAGAAACAATGATTACATCTGCGCAACAAAACCTTTTAAAATGGACAAAGCAGTACGCGTACGACACAGTGAGGTACCTAAACAGCCAGGAGCCGCTCCCCGGGCTGCAGCAAGGAATTATTGCTGGAGGGGGCTTAAGCAAAACTTGGTGAGGCTCTTGTGCGTAGCTTTGGCTAAAAGGCAGCGTCAGCAGAGATGCTCTCCTCACTCGGGTGACATGAGCGTGCTGCAGGAACCGGTGCGGACAGAAAAACTAGAGCAAAACCATCACACCACTCATCTTGGCCAGGAATTGCCTTCCTCTCAAAACAACCACTGCCAAAACTGGGCTGTAACTCTTACTGCCTCTGTAACTCTATGCAACAGTTCTTGGCGTTGGCCACATGGTGCATCAAGAAGTGAAAAGCGTTTATTTCTCCCCGTTGCAGGTTCCAGAGAAAATAAAACCGCCCCTGACCTAACGCAGCTGGGTGCGGAAAGCTGAGCTTGTGAAGGATGGAGCCCATCTTGCATGAAAAATTTCTGCTCTCACAGCCCTAGAGTTATGTCTCTGGAATAGAGAGACGTGAAACCTGTGCCTCTCCAGCGGACGGAGTGGGAAAGAAAGCACAGAGGTTACCCGTAACCCTCTATTGAATGGAGGCACAGCCTTCCCCCTCTGGAGACCAAAGGGACCAGTGCTTCGGCAAGTCCTCGGGGTACAGAGCCCATCTGCAGGGGCTGCTCAGAAATCACCCCCCGGCTGCTTCTCCACCTCCCAAAAGCAAGCGCCACACCAAGTGCCGCTGCTGACCCATCAGCCTCAGCCAACAACCTCCCACCTCCCGAGGAGCTGCCTCCGCAGCACCCATCCCGGCAGAAACCCAACTGCCATCGTCAGCATCGCTACATCTCTCCATTCTTATTTTCTCCACGCACGATGCACGTGTTGACCTCCACAATCTACTAAAGGGACAGAGAGAGAGGAGTTGGTTCACAGCCTTCACGTAAATCATCATTAGACCGACCCGTCCTGCTCAGAAGAAGGTTGCTTCCCATAGACCATCCCGTGCAGCTGGAGAGACACAGACCTCCGGGGAAACTAAATGCGTGGCCACATCTCCCCAGCTGCATAAAAGGGTTTAGAAAAACCAACCGGCAAGACGAGGCTCAGGACTAATGATCTGCCCAAGAATTTTGGCTACTTACGGTTTCTCCTCTCTGTCCGGGGTGACCAGGCAATCCATCCTTCCCAGGAGGACCCTACAGAAGAAAACCAGGATGAGAAGAAACATGACCAAGTGCTCGGTAGTAAAACTGATATGGACTGAATCAAACCTGGTGCCCTTCTTGCATTAATTCCCATCCATTTTGCAGTGAAATGGAGGTGCTCAGAACCCTAAAATTATATGTCCCTTTCCCATACATCTGCCAAAGGAAAAATTCATCTTACAGGTCCAGAGCGGGAGCGAGCTGTCCGCCACAGGGAAGGAAATCACTCCAAAAAGGTTTCTGAGACCCCCCACCAGTGTATAACAATTGCAGAGACAGAAGCGTTACTCGGTTGTGCCGTCCTCCCGGTGTACAGAGGGAAAATAGAGAACAGAGCAACCATGAAAGATCCTAGCGATATTGAGTCATTAGGAAATGAACATTTATAATCAGCCGCAATTTACTTGGCTATTTAAAATCTTAAACCGTCGGGTTATTATCATGATGGCTCAGTAATGCCTTTTATTGGGTACGTCACCGCTTGTCAGAGAAGCAGCTAAGACTGAGCTGGCACAGGCAATCACAGCTGGAGGGGGAAAGACTTTCTGTATTTCTTTGCGTGCTCCAGAAAGAGAGTTACTTACAGGGGGGCCTTTTGGTCCAGGAAATCCAGTCGGTCCTTGAGGCCCTGGTGGTCCCTGGGATGCAAAACAAGCCAGAAAACATTGTTAAGGAACCTGTAACACTTCACTATGAAATACTGGCTCTGTGTGAACAGCAGATGAGCACAAAGATATGGAAAACCAGCTACTTCCACCCCAAAGAAATGCCCCAAAGTGTGAGATGCAACTGCGTGGGGTCATCCCTCAAAAAAAAGGGCATGGAGAGGTAAGAACGACCGGGCATGTTTAACTGGGTGGTGTGTCCAGCTGCACAAAGCACCGCAAACATGAAGAGGGCCATCAACTGCTTTGTGCCTTTCCCTCCCAGTGCTATGAAAAATAGGTCTTTTCCCATCCCAGCTCAACTGAGAGCACCTGGGAGCTCCCGGCTCACGCGGGAAAGAAAGAGAAGAGAGCTGGTGGCTCTGGGGCCGCTGTCGCGGGCGGCTGATGCTCTTCAGAGCGCTGCTTCCCTGCGGCGGCGGCGGCAGCAGCTCCCCCCTCGCCCCCAACCGTCACAACCAGCAGATGCAAAGTGGGGACCAATTGCATATATTTCCTCCCTGAGCAATTTCGTCGAAAATTTACAAAGAAAACCAAACCCATAAGAAAAAGCAGAAATTGAGGCAAAAAATCATGCAAGTCTCATTGTTTCAGTATTTTCCACCTAGTGTGCTGTAACCTGGGGAAAGCAGCGTGAGGTCCTAGGGCACCACCTCTGCCAGACTGGCTGTCCACACAAAACCCATGGGTGACTTTTCCCTTCTCCCACGGAGCGGTGCTTACACAGGACACCCAAGGTCCCACTCGAGCCTTCCTTGGAGAGCTCAGAAAGGACCTAAGGGCTGTAGGTGACTTGTGAGACCCTCTCTCCACACAAGCACGTTTCACCTCGGACTTCTAAACAGATTTTTCCCTTTTTGCTGCCCGAGGTATGCCAAGCTGCACCCTGGCTCCAGCGAGCCGCCCACCCCTCTCTGCTTGACAGGGTACTTGGTGGGATGCTCACTGCAAAAAACCCCTCGGCACCGTCTCAGCCACACCCACCC